AAATTGTACATTGCACATCTTTTAGTGATTTAAAGGATATTATAAATTCCCTTGGGGAATTGGGTTCTCTAAAAAAAACTGAATTATATTATATCCCTAATTTTTTTACCGCAGACAATTAGAATACAATAGACTACTTTTGTTATGTTTGCTTTTACTAAATACATCTTCAATTTTAGCCATTGGGACCTGTGAAGGTTCTCTCCTGAGCCTGGTGTTTGATTTTGTTTAGTGGCCCTACCAATTATTAGAGGCCTACCTAATCACCAATTATTATTAGGCTTTCCCCGAGAGGTATTGCAGTAACAGAAGTAGTGGAAACAGTAGCTGTTCCTCTTTGAGTTCATTTATGTTTCTGGAGGACATAGTTTTATGTGTGCATTTTTGCTGAATGTCATTGCAGATACTAACTTGTATTTCTCAAATTGCATTTGCCAACGAAGTGTTTCAGTAGATCCATTCCAAATGACTGGACTGACTGATGTTGCAGACATTATTGATGACCTCATAACAAAAGATGGAATCTCCAGTGAAGAGCTTGGTTTAACAGAACCACAAGCTAAGGCTGTCTCCAGGTAATTGTTGGATAATGAGCTTTAAACCCATTTTCATGTTTATGATTTAAGAATGTTCAAAATCAGTAATTTTTAATGTTTTTTTTTTAAGAAACAAATGTTAATCTTAGAAGATATTTTTTTCTTTATAAATACATTTGGTGATGTTTATATTTCATTCTTCCCTCCCTGTGGGTTATGTTAGGCTGCTACCTCAAGGTCAGCAGTTCAGTCCACCAGCCATTCCTCAGGAGAAAGATGAGGCTTTCTGCTCTGTAAAGATATACAGCCTCAGGAACCTCATTCAGGTCACTATGAGGTGGAATAACTTGACAGCTTACAACCATTACCACCACCTCCCCCTCCAATGGGATATAGTCAGGTTTAGTCACCTAACACAGCACTTCTGTGTCTTGAGAGGTTTTCCAAGGCCTCATCAGTCTGAGTATAACACAAATTTAATCCCATTTCTTCTTAGAATTAATTATTGATAAGTTTTATGTAGTCTACCCATGTAAACATTAGGTTGGAATATTTTTCTGGCAGCCCTTCCTGGGCCAAGAACTGGTTCCTGAAAGAATGAAGACTGATTGTGCTCTAAGCCTTTCCTGAAATACAACTCTTGACAAGCTTATTTATATCAATTGGTCAGCCCTACGAATAGCCAGCTACGCTTCTATGTGAACCAAAGAAAGAAACAAACAAATAAAACCCAAACCCATTGCTGTTGAGTCGAATTCTAATTGTAATAGCTGAATTGAGGTAGCATGTATAGAACGGTCATCTGTGAGTATGAGATAACTTGTTTATATGCTGGTTCTCTTCAGCTTATCTCAGTGTAATGTATTATAAGTAAACTTACTCAAAAGATATACAAAAAAGGCAATTTCTATTTAATGTAGTTATCTGCTGTATTATGACTTCCTTGTCAAGACTACACAGACCCCAACTTTTTTTGTGAAATACGTTTTACTAAGCTTCAATCACATTTATATATGATCAGTCTTTCAGAAAAAATGTTTATGATAGTTTTATGAATATTTCATCAATATTTTAAATGTCAAGAATTTGAGTAAAAACAAAATATGAATTTCAGCTGGTGGGGAAAGCCAGTAAAGAGCTTAAAGATTAACTACAGGAGCCTGTCAGGGACTTATTTCAGTCTTCCAGAGGGGAGGTGGCTCAGACTGGAGAGTGCCTGACAGCCGACTTGAGGAAGTGAGAATGATAGAAGTGATGGGGATTTCTTTACCAAATAGAGAATGGATTGCTAGATGTGTAAAGTTAGATTGTTACATATTGTTTGATTGCTAGATAAGTACAAACGTTCCGTTGGTAATTCTTATCGGTGTATTAGTTTTAGGTTCTTCAAGAATCGAGTGCCAAGATGGAATTTACAAACACAAAAGATTTGTTTGAAGAAATGCCTGTGAGGAAAAAGGGGAGGGAGGCATAGGAATTGGGGACAGCGATCAGATTGTAGTACCAGTGCAGATCTGGCCCCGTGTCCAGCATCTCTAAGATCCCCCCACAGGCTTCATGTTTTGCTGGAAAACTCCCAGCACTCAGCATGTAGTCATACGCAGTTTTAATCTATTACAGCAAAAGGGGTCAAAGGAAAACCGGCACAGAGAAAAGGTGCATTGGGATGAAGTCTGGGGCTAACTAGACAAAAGTTTCCAAGAATCCTCTTCCAGTGAAATTCCTCAAGATGTACCATGACAACATGCATGAAGTGGTGACCACCAGGGAAACTCACTGGAGACTATGCCCAAAGGTTTAATGGAGGCTGTACAAGTAGGCCCTCTCTGCCTACCATGTACCAGGATTCCAGACTCCCAGAAGGAAAAGGAGGTGTTTCATAGAAACCACATTGTACAAACAGTTTCAGCCCAGTGAGCTACTATTCTCATTGAGAATGGTGGGACCCTTTCTGAATTCCAGGTTTCCAGATGGCCAGCTAGCTAGGGGCCAACTCTGTAAGCAGACCATTGTAAGGGTAGTGTCGGGGGTTACGTATTCTTCAGAGATCCCTGTGTAGGAGAGAGAGGAGGAAGGAAGATTGGGTAGAGAGTCCCAGATGACAGTGCAGTTGTAATGTTTCAGTCAGGTCAGTAGTGAGACCTCAGGCAAAGTCACCCAGCAGAGAAGTCTTGTGTCTTGTAAACAATCATATTTCTGTCCTGCTCAGTCATTAACCAGCCCATGGCAAGTGTTGTGTGGACATGAGCTGGGGGACAGTGGGGTAGGAAGCTGAGTGGTGTTTTAAGATTTAGGAAAATACACACATAAGAAAATGCTTAAGGCAGAAGGGAAAATCTACTGTGTCAGTATTACAGCGTACAGTAGGAAGAAGATGAAAGAGGCCCTTGGTGTCCTTTCTGAAATAATTTTCATTGATTTTTAGAGTGATGGGTTAGAGTGAATTTGCTAGAGACACTAAGTGTAAATTACTCTGTAGATGAGCCAAATTTTCCCAAAATAAACAGTATTTATTTGTGGTCCTTATCTGCATGGTGTTGGTGTGCCATGGAGTCGGTTCCAACTCTTAGTGACCCTGTACAGGGTTTCAGAGGCTGTAAATCTTTACAGGAGCAGAAAGCCTCATCTTTCTCCCGAGGAGCAGCTGGTAGTTTCGAACTGCTAACCTTGTGGTTGGCAGCCCGATTCATAACTCACTTTGCTATGCTGCCAGGACTCCCTACCTATCTGCATAACAAATATAAAAGTAAGTGATAACTTTGCCTGTTAAATTTCTCAGGATTCAGCATACTTCTGGCAGACGCTCACAAAGAACTGAGAGGGAGAGAAGAGAGGTTCGTGTCTGGATGAAAAGAAAGCAAAAGGAAAGACTGGCAGAATACTTAAATCAGCTGGCAGAGAAGAGAGGACAAGAGCATGACCCTTTCTGTCCCCGAAACAATCCAGTAAGTCTGTAATCCAAAGGGTAAAGGGACCGTCACAGAATATATATAGTCTTTTTCTGGCAAATATTCAAGAAAAGGATTGACTCAATTTGGATACATTTTTAATTGGAAGAAAAAAAAGTCAGCATTTTATTTAAATTAGGAAAAATTTTAAATGACCTTACTAAACAACAATAGGATGTTCTACAAACTACCTTTTGTTGAACGATTTCAAATATTTTTTCCTAACCCAGGCTAATTATAGCTCTAGCATTAACCAAGTGAGGAGGTTAAATGATTAGGTGATATGTTGGAGTTGTTCCTTTAATTTTCAATGAAATTCAGTACCAGTTGAACAACTGTGTGTGTACAAGGGGGCTTCAAAAAGTTCAGGGAATTGTCTCAGAGACCCCATGGTCAATTGGCACAACGTAGTATGCAAAGACAATATTCTACATCCTATTTTGGTGAGTAGCGTCTGGGATAATAAAAGCTCATAAACAGCCATCTGAGGTGCAGGTATTAGTCTCTGCATGTGGGAAGAAAAAAGAGTGATGAGAAATGAGGCTTGGAATCAGCTTGTCCAGTGGACTAATGGAGCATGCGAACTCAGTCTCCACTATCCTGAGACCAGAAGAACTAGATGGTGTCTGGCTACCACAATAAAAGGTCCTAGATAGAACAGCATAATGTGTTGAACAAAACTCAAAATTATTTAAAAGAAAAAAAAAGAGAGAGTCCTGGCTTACTGGGGCCCTCAACCACACTTCAGGTTGGAAAAGGAACACACCCTCTTTTCACCAAGCAGTAGATAGGTATAGAGAGGGAACAACAACACTAGTAAGGTAGTCTAACTATTAATGATGGGCTGGTCAATCATTCAAAATCAAAGGGGCAACATGTACCTAAGGACAGTGGCAACAAGGAATGGGAAGGTGGGTGGAATGGAAACAAGAGTCACAGAGAGGAAGCAGGTTAACTGTTGTTTCATGGAAGGGATTGCAATCATTGAGATGAAACAAAGTGTATGATTTGGTAAATTTAAAACTCATGATCTTGTCTGTAAATCTTCACTCAATTCACACAAAAAAAGAAAAGCTCATGGAAAAATTCCATTATCTTAAAAGTTTTTCACTAACTTTTTGAAGCACCTTTGTATTAAAATCATTTTCTCCCATTTTAAAAACCTAATTTTCTATCCATAAGTTATGTAAAAAGCATCAAAGAAACAGTGGTCCAGCCATATGCCAATACACCAGTGTTAAATCTGTGTGTATATTTTTGTTTTTAACTGTCGTTTCAACCATCAGCCTTTATATGAGTGCCTTGTAATACGTTGTTCTGGCTAGATCAAGAGTATTTTCAAAATCAAAAGGTGAAACAAAGCAATATTACTTTGATAGCCACATTATTATGAAAATCACATTTAATTACACGTAGGTTACAGTTTGTCTTTTACTTTGTAACATTTTATTTTTTCAGCATCACTGGGTGGAAAACTTTAATAAGTGAGTTTTCTAGATAAGGTTGTCCCATGTGAGAGTGGGAAAACCACTTTCAAAATGTGTCAATTTTGTTACCTTTAAGTGGAGAATGCATGCTGGTTAGTAACAACCTTTTGTGACCTAGGGGGCTACTGAGGTACACGACCAGGATTGTAAAGTGAAGGTATGTGTTCATATTTCCCAGCTCCACTGAAGGGGTTTTCCATCATCATCCCCCCCTTGTCAAATACCCAAGATACTTAAAAATGTGTACAAATTTAGAATAAATTAATATTGTCCATAGGTACTGCTATGTTGATAGACTTTGTGGCATTTGCTTCAAGATTGCAGCCACTTGTTTTGTTATTTTCAGCTTCTGTGTGGGTGAGAAGCCCTGATGTGGTTCTGTAGGATAAGCACTGGACCACAAGGTCAGTTTGAACCACCAGGTCAGCAGTTCAAACTCACCAGCCGCTCCATGGAAACCCTATACAGGGTTGCTATGAGTTGGAACCGACCCAACAGCACATAGCAACAACAATTTGGGTGAGGGGTTGGGATTAATGAAGGAGCCCTCAGGGTCAGAGGTTAAACACTCACCTTCTAACCCAAAGGTTGGCTGTTTGAACTCATGAGTTGCCCGACAAGAGGAAGCTATGGCAGTCAGCCACCATGAAGATGACAGTCTTAGAAACCCTAGATGGGGCAGTTGTGCCCTACCCTATAGGATAATTATGAGCTGGAATTGACTTGAGGGCAGTGAGTTTGGATTTATGGGATTCAAAACAAAAAGCCCAAAGCCACTGCCGTTGATGCCATTCTGACTCATAGAGACGCTGCAGGGCAGAGCAGAGCAGAGCAGAACTGTGCCGTATGGTTTTCAAGATGGTTGTTTTTATGGACGTAGCTTTCCTCCACAGAATGGCTGGTAGGTTCAAACCACTGACCTTTCGAATAGCAGCAGAGTGCTTTAACCACTGTGCCACCAGGACAGTAATGTGGGATGGCTGTAATTTAAGTAGTCTCTGGGTGGTACACATGGTTACATGCTCACTTACTAACTGAAAGGTGGGCTGTTCAAATCCACCCAGAAGCACCTTAGAAAATAAGCCTGGAGGTCTTCACAACCTGGAAAGCTGCGCACACGTGGGGTCACCATGACCTGGAATGGACTCAATGGAATGGACTCAATGGCAAGAAACAACAGGGATGTAGTTTCAATGTGAATTTCCATCAGAAATGGATACTTCTAAATTTATTACTTCTAAATAGGGCATTGAGAAAATGAATTCATTTGGGGTGTCTGCTTATAGATAGATGATTGTATATGTATGTAACTGTGTAAGACTTAACCTTTAACCTCACTAGTAGCTCACAGCAATAACTTAAAATTCTGGAATAAGAGGTATATATCTAATATTTTGTTTGTTTGTTTTATGGTGCATAAGTGTTGAAGATTTTACACATCATAGTCTCTATAGCAGATGGCTTGAAAGCATTTTAAAAATGTAAAAATGTAATTTACGAAGTTCCTTAAATAATTTTAAATGTCTGACTCATTATAGGCCTGTTTTATAAACCAGGCTCTTGGTGAGACTGAAAATAAGTGTAGGTGTCTTTATCTCTAAACTGTTTCCATTTTTCATTTTAAATGCAACTGATAATGTTCTCTCCTTTTGAAAAAAATACATTCATTTCATTAGGAAAGTAGATTATGCATCCTGTTTATTAAATTGGATTTTACTTTAGTTACATGATGCTTTAATTGAACGTTTCCATGCTTTGTGCTTGGTTCAGGAAGCTCCATTATATGACAGTGTTCACATGGCTTCTAAATGGAAAAATGATGTCTTAGCCTCCTGTTAGAATGATTCGTGGGATTTCTTGTTTATCATAGATAATAATGATTTAATTATGTGAACTGAACAATACTGAACAAACTGGGTATTTCTTTTACAGTTTTACATGACTTCACGGGAAATCAGGCTAAGACAGAAGATGAAGCATGAAAAAGACAGGTGAGTTCATTAGCTAGCTTCTGAGCATTTTCTCTGGCTTATTTACCACTGGCATAGCTAGCTATGCCTCCCCGTAAAACAAAATCCCATTGCTGTTGACTTGATTCTCCCACAAAGCAGCCTATAAGGACAGACTTGAACCACCCCATCCAGTGCGTTTCCAAGGCTACAGCTACTTCTCACTTACTGGCTGTCTCATTATCTGACATTTCCCATTGTGTTTATCAGTAACATATGTGTGGCAGTAACAAATACCAAAGTGCAAGGTGATGGCTGTAATGGTTAAGATGTCATGTCAACTTGGCTGATCCATGATTCTTAATGGCTTGGCAGTGATGTAATGATGTAATTTGGCGGATATGTAGGAGACCAGTCATCCTCCATTTTCCCATAATGACAATTTTCACTTAATGACCTGGTCTGTGGATAAGTGAGATGTGGGTGTAATCTTTATGGAGAGAGACTGCTACATCTTTCTTCTGTGGTGCAGCTGGTAGATTTGAACCACCATATGCCTTATGAGTTCTATTTTTCAAAATTGCCCTCTTTTTGGTCAATAAAGATGAAATCATGGGAGAAATAACTGCAAAGGAAAAATAAAGGACTCTATACATTTAGTTTCAAATATCTTTATGTTCCATTCCTTTTTTTTTTTTTGCATTAGGCAAATCTGCTGCACAAGACCTTTTTTTTCCTTTTATTTTTAATGTTTCATTGTGAATTATGTGATAGTTTACATGGGAGAACATTAGTTTTACATTCATCCTATCATATATCGTTTCATTGCCATGGTTACAATCCCCTCCATGCATCATCAACCAACCAAAGGGTATATCCTACAAGCTTGCCCCCCAGTCGTCAGCACACAGACCCTCTCCCTCTCTGGGTCTAAAGTCCCCAGCTACTCCACCTCTTCACATCATCGTCTCTGCCTTCATCTCTGGCATTACTGCTTCTCTGGGTAGGGTCCCGCTCGCTATCTGCTCTTCTCCCTTCATGGTCCCAGGGACCTCCGCTCCTAGACTGCAAAGTTAATTAATCCCATCCTTGCTACAAAACATCTACCTTTACATTTCCAACCCTCACAATCAGTCCTGATAATAATTATTCACTATTGTATCATTTCATTTCATTTCATCAGCCCCTCCTAGACAGATTGGATACTACTCAGTGGAGATTCTACCTTCCTCCATGCCCTCTGGATCTAAGTTCCCTCTTGAAAGCTTGTAAGCCAGTCACTTCTTGCCTTTGTACCCCCCCCACTTTGGGTAGCCAATGTCCAAGTTGCCCATCCCTGTCTACTCTGTGTGTGGAGGGGGTGGGAATGATCCTTGCTGTAAAGACTTATTCCCTCTTTTGAGCTACTGCATCCATAGGTATAGGTCAAGTTCATCAAATTGTATCAGATTACTTTTTCCTCTTGTTTCTTCTTCTAGTTGAGCTCTGATCATCCAGACATTGAAGCCAGGTCAAGTGGGTATTATCTGCAAGTGTGGGTGTTCTTATGAATATGCCCTCTCTTCTTATCAGCTGGACGCTTTACTCTCCACTCTAGTCCTCTGTGGCTATGTCACTGATTCTGGGCTCAGGAGTACCTACGTCTTGCCACACTGCTGGCCAACCAGGTCTCCACCCAGGTTCACAGGAGTCTGTTGAATGTTGTAGGGCTTAGTTCACAGCTTCATTGCTGTTTTTCCCTCACTTCCCCTTATCGGTGACATACGTGGTCACTAATCAGAGCATTGAGTATTCCCATTGAGTCTTAGTCTTGGAAAGGGGTTTTTGCTCTGAGGGGACCCGACCACTTGCCTTGATGTCTCCTGGGCGAGCAGCTTGCTTGTTCTTATAGTAATCAGTCGGTCTGCCTATATTGTTTGTATTTTTCCTGTCGATCTTTCTTTCAAGAAGTATCTTCTGTTCTTCTAGCCGCTTCAGGCTGGTCTGCCCGTCCTTTCAAGTGGAAATTTCCCACTTCAGAAGATTCTGGATCCTGTTCAGGATTCCACCTACAGTCTTATGTAACGCAGAGGCTCTGCAGGAAGCCTCCTTCACTGGGCACATTGTAGCCCCATTTTAGGTATTCCAATCAGTTATAGACAGAAGATGGACCTACAAGCTTTCTATAGTGATATTTCTGGCTATTCTTTTCTCTCCCCTTCAAGTGTCTATTTTATAATGGTATGCAGGGGAAACCAAGATTCAAAAGACAGCCAAGCATCTTAACATTATTAACCCCTCTTTTCCCCATTCCAACCATGTCTCAATCCCTGTATCCAGAGTCCTGTTGTTACAAGGTTGTGCATACATCATTCTTTACCTCTGTCCTACTTAGCCCATGCAAAACTAATTGCTCTCCTATCTTCTTTTTCCATTCCCCTCCCCCTTCTTGTATATTGGGCCCCCTTCCCCAGCTATCCTGTGTCTATTCCCTGCCCTGTGTTCCACCTTTCCCTCCCTCCCCTCATCCCACTCCCCACAGCCCAGCAACCAGCAAAGAATCACACACACACACACACACACACACCCTTTAGTATGGGTTCTTTTTCTTAGTCTTTTAAAGTAGTGGTCCTATGCAGTATTTCTCCTTTTGTGACTGACTAATTTTACTCAACATAATATCCTCAAGGTTCATCCATATTATGTGGTGGCTTGCAACTTCCTTGTTATTCTTCAAGGTAGCATAATATTCCATTGTGTTTATGTACGTGTGTATGTACCGCAGTTTGTTTATCCATTCTTCAGTTGATGGGCGCTAAGGCTGTCTCGGTCTTTTTGCTATTGTAAATAGCGCTGCTATGAACGTTGGTGTGCATATATCTACTTGTGTTATGACTCGTATTTCTTGTGGGTAAATACCAAGTAGAGGAATTGCTGGATCATCAGGTATTTCTCTTTCCAACCTTCTGAGGAAGCGCCATATTGCTTTCCAGATAGGTTGGACCATTTTGCAGTCCTACCAGCAATGCAGGAGTGACCCAGTCTCTCCACATCCCTGGCAGCATTTATTGTCCTCTACATTTTTGATCTTTGCTGTTATTGCTGGTATGAGATGGTATCTCATTGTTGTTTTGATTTGTATTTCTCTAATGGCTAGTGATCATGAACATTTCTTCCTATGTTTGTTTGCTGCCTTGGTGAAGTGTCTGTTCATGTCCTATGCCCATTTTTTAATTGGGTTATTTGTCCATTCAATTTTTATGAGGTTAATTTCTATTATTCCCTTCTCTGTCACTCCCAGGCCATAACTTGTAAGCACCATTACTAATACTGCTTAATGATTTTCATAAGTCTGATAAACAGTTATTTTTGAAGAGCACTGGAAAAAAAACGCTAGGTGGTCTGTAAACATTATGTTCCCTCTAGAAATACGAACTGGAAGTGATTCTTTTAGTAAATGATGTTTAATAATTTTGTCTTAAGGTTGCTACTCTCTGACCACTATAATCGTCGAATCTCACAAGCATACAGTCTGATGAATGAACTGTTATCTGAGTCAGTGCATCTACCAACAACTGCACAGAAATCATTGCCTAAGAAACCTAGAACTGCTCAGATTTCCAGAAAGCAATGTTCCTCTTTTCCAAACAGGTAAGACATGTTTTATCATTTAACAAGGTAACTTTGTTGTTGTTGAGTGCCGTCGAGTCAGTTTTGACTCCTAGCAACCCTGTATATGGTTTCCAAGGAGTGACTGAAAGCTTGAACTGTCACCAGCGCATTAACCCACAGCGCCACACCAGGACTCCAAGGTAACTTTAGGCCTGATTAAAAAAAAAAAAATGCAGTTCTTTTGTGAGCGAAGTTTAATGTATCTGCCTCACTATGCTCAGAGTTATGAGGGTGAGGTGAAGAAAATAATAGCTCCACAATTATGAGGTCTTTATAAATTTGAAGAATCACCAATAAAGCACTTCAGTTCAGTTAATATGATTTCTATTCAATCCTGATTTTTTTAAAAATAATTTTTATTTTATTTATAATTTTCTTCCTATTGTCCTTTTCTTCCTGTTTCTCTATTTGTCATCTTCACTTGAAGGATCCAACCTGTCCTTACCACCAGTTCCCACTTCTCCCTCCCCAATTATGCTGATTTCATTATAGATGCTGCATGTTATATGGTGGTGGTGATAGTGTGCCATGGAGTCGGTTCCAACTCATAGCGACCCTGTATAGGGTTTCCAAGGCCGTAAATCTTTATGGGAGCAGAAAGCCTCATTTTCTCCCACAGAGTAACTGGTAGATTTGAACTGCTGACCTTGTGAGTATCAGACTTGCTCATAAGCTACTATGCTACCTATGCTACCAAGGCTCCTTGTTAAACATTTAGTCTTACATCAAAACTATATTTATCTTCAGTAATGGCCTTCAGTGTGCTTGGATATGAGTCTGTTAGACAGGAATTAATTCAGCATAGCATTCTTAAGCGTTATCCAAGTGTAAAGTTTCTTGTATATGGTAAAAAAAAAGTTACATCTGTTGATGATCCATAAGGCGGCATTAAGTACCATTTTGTTAAGAATGACCACCTTGTGATCTCTGGCTAGATGCATGGATAAACATGCAGGGTCAATGGGGTAAGGTAGAGTGGCTGAATACCAACAAATATATATATATACAGTTAGTTAGATAGATAGATAAGATAGGTAGATAGATAGATTTGACAGAGAATATCTGTACATTGATATCTGTACCTTTGCTGCAAATATATCTATGAATGTGGTGAATACCAGGGGCAAAAGTTATAAAACCTTTGTAGACAGAAGTGAAGCCCTTTATGAAATGCGTTGCTGGCCTGGGTCTCAGGATCACCATGGTCAGCTGGCATAACCTAGTCCACAATGACAAGGGGCTACAGCCTGCTTTGGCCTGGGGCTCAGCACTGTAGTCTCAGGATCACCATGGTCAGCTGGCATAACCTAGTCCATAATGACAATGGGCTACAGCCTGCTTTGTTGTCTCTCCCTGACCCCGTGGGTAAAGAAGGGTAATCGCAATTGAAGATACCTGGAAACAATTAGTCCAATAGGCTAATGGATTAAGTCTCCATGACCAGAAGAAATTAGGTGGTGCCCGGCTAGCACTACCAAATTCTCTAAAAGAGATTATATTAGAAGGTCTTGGATAAAGTGGGAGAAAAATATGGACCAAAACTGAAAATCAAAAAAAAAAAACAGGCTTACTGGTCAGACAGAGACTGGTGGAACCCTGAGACCACGGCCCTTATCATACTTCAGGTTTGGAAATGACGTCACTGCCATGGCTCAGTGTTCAGCCAAACAATAGACAGGTCTGTGAGAGGACCAGTAACACTGCGTAGTAATGTACATGTTAGAATAATCAGCTTTTAGAGATGAAAAGGGCAGCATTTACCTACAGGTCGTGTGAGAAACAGAAAACAAAGTGAAGTGAGGTTACATTTTGAAGACTGCACTCAAAATCTGTGTGAGCTGTTGAGTGGAAAACTAATCTGCTCTGTAAACCTTCACCTAAGACGTATAAAAAAATGACCACTTTTGATAAAATATAGTAGATTCTCATTATTCCTGGTAGTTATTACCCTATAAAGTCCCTGTGAACACTGAAATAGTGACTACCAAACCAGCTTTGTTCCACCTCAGCTGAGTATTGTTGGTCCTTTGTGGGTGCATATCTGACACACTCACAAATACACAATCCCTACATAACAGTCAACTGTGAATGATTAGGATTATGAACATACTTACAGTGTGGCGCTGTGGAGTAATGCACTAGACTGCAAGGTGAGTTTGAACTTCAAGGTTGGTGGTTCAAATTACACCAGCTGCTCCTTGGAAACCGTATACAGGGTCACTAAGAGTTGGAGCTGACTCGATGGCACTTAATAACAGCAACAGGAGCATAGAGGAAATGCTATCGTTAAACCTGGATGTAATCAGATGACTAATGTGTATAGTTGGGGGTTACTGAAAATACCAGAGACTCCCCTTTAATCCTTTCTAGAATAAAGCAGTATATAAATAACTACCAAAGACATGGAGAACTTGAAATAGATAACCAAATGAATTTTTTTTAAATGTTTGAAGTGTGGGATGTGAAGATAATTAGTTGAGGGATATCATATGCTGAAAGGAGCTCTTGTAGTATAATGGTTATGAATTGGGCTGCTAACCTCAAGGTCGGCAGTTCGAAACTACCAGCCGTTCCACGGGAGAAAGGCTTTCTGCTCCTGTAAAGATTTACAGCCTCGGAAACCCTGTGCAGGGTCACTATGAGTCAGAACCGACTCCACAGTACTTAACAACAACAACAAATTATATGCTGAGAGGAGCTCTGGTAGCATAGTGGTTACAAATCGGGCTGCAAACCTCAAGGTCAGTAGTTTGAAACTACCAGCTGTTCCATGGGAGAAAGAGGAGGCTTTCTGCTCCTGTAATAATTTGCAGCTTCAGAAGCCCTGAACAGGGTCCTTATGAGTCGGAACTGACTCCATGGCACACTACCAGCAGCACCATGACATGCTGAGGGGAGTGTGATGGCTCCATACACTAAGCAGTGGACTGCGAACCACAAGGTCTGAGGTACGAGCCTGTCAGTTGCTCCTTGAGAGAAAGGTGAGGTTTCCTGCTCCCTAAACAGGGTTACTAAGAATCAGAACGGACGGCATTTAACAACAACAACAAATTGTTACTTCATCACTGAGTTGCAGAATGTAAGCAGTCAAGTGAATATTAATCCGAAGTATAATTTAAGCTTTTGGAAATATTAAAATTTATCATTGATATGAAAATCTAAGAGCATAATTACATAATTTCTACTTTAGAGAAAATCAACGTGGTCAAAAGTTTAGACCTGGAAAAGTCAGCTGTGTATCCAAATCAAGTTATTGCCCAAAGGAGAAAACTTTTGTGCAGCCTCAAGATTCACCTTGGCCAGGTGGTAAGTCTTATAAACTTTTTTATATTGTGTGATTTGGACTTATTCCTTGTTGTTTCAAAAGCTGTGTTTTTATTCATAAAAGCTAGTAGAAAAACAATTCTCATTTTAATAAAATGCACGAGGTGGGTAAAGCCTAGCAGTTGTGGGATTCTGTTCTGTTTCTCTGAAATAAGACCATAGCATTCTTTTTTAAGTATTGGGCTTTATATAATAGAATTTAAAGTTTAGGAGTTACATATAAACTTTTCCCAGAATCTGTCCTTCTATGAGTCTGACTAAAGACATAGGCATTTTCACAAATCAGGTTCATATAGACTGGAGGAAGCTACGTCAGGAATAGTAAGAGGCTAATAGGTTCCAATAGGAATCATACCATGTTTTTATTCCTTTCGAACATTCTTTTCCACATTTAAAAATATAGTATTTGTTATCTTCATTAATAGATGAATGATTAAAGAAAACATGGTAAATATATACAGTGGAGTATTTAGCCAAAAAAGTGAAATTCTGAAAATGCTACCACATGGATAAAACTTTAAAACATTATTAGAAGAAAAATAAACCAGGTACTAAAAGACCAATAATATAGGATCTCACTTATGTGAAATATGTAGAATAGGCAAATGATGGTTACTATGAGTTGGGAAGTGTCACCACACCATGATGCAAATGTGCCAGGTCTTTTTTGGTCTTCTATATTTGTCCAAAATTTGACAGTAAATTCGTTATTGTTTAGTGCCATTGAGTCAGTTAGACTCATAGTGACCATGAATAGGGCTTCAGAGGAGCAGCTGGTGTATTTGAACCGCCAACCTTGCAGTTCAAAACGACCTTACAGTCCAGTGCTTATCCTACAGCACCACACCAAGACAGTAAATGTTGTTTTTGTTGTTGTTAGTTAACATCGAGTCCGTACCGACTCATAACACTGTCCGGTCCTGCACCAGCCTCACAATCTTTGCTACTCTTGAGCCCGTAGCTGCTGCCACTATTGGAGGTCCTTCTCTTGTTCACTGACCCTCCACTTTTCCAAGCATGATATCTTTCTCCAGGAAGGATAATATGGCCGAAGTATGAGAGATTAAGTCTGGTCATCCTAGCTTCCAAGAAGCACTCTGACTGTACTTCTTCCAACACAGATTTGTTCTTCTGACTGCCCATGGTACTTGTAGTATTCTTTTCCAACACCATAACACAACTGCATCAATTCTTCTACAGTCTTCCTTATTCACTGTCCGGCTTTCACATGCATATGAGGTAATTGAAAATACTATGACTTGGGTCAAGTGCACCTTAGTCCTCAACTGACATCTTTGGTCTTGTGCAGCAGATTTGCATAATGCAATACATCATTTGATTTCTTGACTACTGCTTTCATGACTGTTCCTTCCTCTTGATCATATGCTACCTCTTGAAACAGTTGAACATCAACCATTTCCTTCTGGTACAGTGACTCTGTGTATTCCTTCCTTCTTTGATGCTTTCTGCATCATTCAATAATTTACCCAAAACATCCTTCATTAATGAAAGTCAAAGCTTGAATTTTTTCTTCAGGAATTCCCTCAGCTTGAGAAATGCTGAGCGTGTTCTTCCCTTTTGGTATTCTAACTCCAGGTGTTTGCACAGTTCATTATAATATTTGACTTTGTCTTCTTAAGCTGCCTTGTGAAATTTTGTATTCAGCATTTTACCTCCTGATGTCTTCCATTTGGTTTAGCACTGTGGAGCAAGTTTCAGAGGCTCTTCTCCAGTTTGGTCTTTTCCTTCTTTCTTGTCTTCTTAGTGACCTTTTGCCCTCATCCTCAGGATAATAAATGTTGTTGTTATGTGCCGTGGAATCGGTTCCGACTCATAGCGACCCGGTACAGGGTTTCTGAGGGTGTAAATCTTTACGGGAGTAGAAAGCCTCATCTTTCTCCCGCGGAGCAGCTGGTAGTTTCGAACTGCTGACCTTGTGGTTCACAGCCCGATTTGTAACCACTACGCTACCAGGACAATAAATAGTTGCCGTTAATGTTTGAGTTTAAGAAACTTTCATTAATACTTCTCTTGATAAAACTTCATTTGAAAGTCATAAGCATAAACTGCTGTTGGGTTTATTTCCCCTCTCTGGTTGACAGAAATGTTTTCAGGCACATCTGTCATTTGACAAAGGACCATGGCTCTGCTATAATGAGAGTATACCAATTCTAAACCTTTGTTTGCACTTCTGATTTGCCCTCTTGGTTCAAAGTAACCACCATCTTTTGGGCTTGGTGAGTGGACTCATTTGATCAGGAGAAGGTTTGTGTCTTCGGAGAGCTTATAGTACAAGTTGTATGACATTACGCATGCATACTGACGAATAAAGATTGCCTGTCTCTATAGGAACTGCCACTTTTACCATCCACGAGAAAACTGGAGGAACCAAAGCAGCAAGACGGAGTGCTGTGCAGTCTCCAGTTGGCCTCCAAAGAGGTAAGTGATCGATAAAGAACTGAAATTCTTGAGTTTTAAGACTAATTTTTTAACTTTTCGTTGTGAGTTGAGTGAAGATTTACAGAGCAGATCATCAGTTTTGTATCAAAAAATCGTTTCATCTCACTGATTGTAACCACCCCAGTGTAACATCCCTTACCCACTTCTTCCTGCTGCTCAGGCTGCCCTTCCTTCTGTCTCAACCACTCGGAATTCCGTCCTTAGGTAAATGCTGCTTTTTAAAAAAATCTTGAATGACTTAACCATTCTGTGGTGTGTCTGCCTCACTGCCGTTGCTGTCTCTCCTATGTACCTAATCTACTGCTTCTCTGAGAATTGAGCCTTGGTTCTGAATGGTGGCCAAGGATTTTAGACTCATGATTCCAATAGTCTTTATCTGACCTACTGGTCTTAGACTACGTTTTTAAAAATCACAAACCAGTCTTAGAAATTTAAACACTGTTGTTGTTATTAAGTGCTGTCAAGTCGGTTCCTGAGGAGTGACTGAACTGCCAACCTTGAGGTTTAAACCAACTTTGCAGTACAGTGTATTAGCCTGCAGCACCACACCATGACTCCATTACAACATAAAATATTGAGTTAAGGGTGTGGTGTTTCAGAGAAGAGGTGTTGGAGTTGGCATGTTTGATATTAATACATCACTTAACTGCCATTGAGTTGGTTCTAACTCATAGCGACCATGTACAACAGGGTTTCCAGGGAGCAGCTGGTAGGTTTATACTGCTGATCTTGTGGTTCGCAGTCTAGTGTTAATCCTACAGCGACACACCAGAAGTCCACTTACTTCAGAGTATTGGGCAAATTCCTAACCCATTTCTGTAAACTTCGGTAATTTTCACCTGCCAAATGAGGATTATAATAGAATTTATATAAGGAAGAAGACTTAAAATACTTTCTGATGAAGATCAAAGACCATAGCCTTCAGTATTATTTGCAACTACTGTATAGAAAACAAAAATCCTCACCTCTGGACCAATAAATAACAACATGATAAATGGAGAAAAGATTAAAGTTGTCAAAGACTTCATTTTGCTTGGCTCCACCAACAACTCTCACAGAAGTAGCAGTCAAAAAGCTGAATTGACATATTGCATTAGATAAATCTGTTGCAAAAGACCTCTTTAAAGTGTTACTGAGCAAAGATGTCATTTTGAGGGCTATGGTACACTTGACCCAAGCCATGGTATTTTCAGTTGCCTCATATGCAAGTTGGACAATGAATAAGGAAGATCAAAGAAGACTTGATGCATTTGAATTATGGTGTAGGTTGTTGTTATTAGGTGTCATCGAGTCGGTACTGACTCATAGGGACCTTATGCACAGCAGAATGAAACACTGCCCAATCCTGGGCCAACCTCACTATTGTTGCCACACTTGAACCCATTGATGCTCCCACTTTGCCAATGCATCTCACTGGGGGTCTTCCTCTTTTTCTCTGACCCTCCACCGTACCAAACATGATATCCTTCTCCAGGCCAACCAGGTCTCCACCCGTGTTCACAGGAGTCTATTGAACATTGTAGGGCTTAGCTCACACCTTCATTGCTGTTTTTCCCACTTCCCCTTATCGGTGATGAACGTGGTCACCAATCAAGAGCGTGTATTCCCATTGAGTCTTAGTCTTAGAAGGGGATTTGTCCTGAGGGGACCTGACCTCTTAGCACATTTTGTTGTAATATTTCACTTTATCTTCTTGAGCTGATCTTTGAAATTTTCTGTTCAGCTCTTGGACCTCCTCATTTCTTCCATTTGCTTTAG